GAGGCCCACCGCAGTGTCCCCTCCGCTCCCGAGGCCCACCGCAGTGTCCCCTCCGCTCCCGAGGCCCACCGCAGTGTCCCCTCCGCAGTCACTTCCCTTCATTTCTGAAACCAATTGCAGTCTCCTATCACTCCCAAAACTTACTGCACTCTCCCCCATTCCAGCAACTCACTGCAGCCTCTTCTTCTCACTTTTGAAACACACTGTAGTGTCCCCCTCCATTTCCGAAACCTGTTATAGTGCCCCCTCCACTCCCGAAAGCCACTGAAATGCTTCCACCACTTCTGGAATTCACTGCAGTCTCTTCCCTTGCCCACATCCTGAAACCCATTGCAGTCCTCCCACCACTCCCAAAACACACTGCACTCTCCCTCTCATTGCCAAAACACACTGCAGTGCTTGCACCCTCCTGATCCCACAGCAGTGCCCCCTCCACTCCCGAAACCCACTGTAGTGCCCTCTCACTCCTGAAATCCACTAGTGGTTCCTCAACTCCCAAAACACATTGCCATGCCCCCTCCACTCCTGAAACCCACTGCAGTCTCTACACACCCCTCACTCCCAAAAGCTGTCAGAATCTTGTTGAATTAAGATATTTTCTCATTGACCTGCTCTGGAGATGTTTTTACGCATCTCTGGAGCAGGCCGGATGTGCACGTTCCTCCTGCTCCTTCTTCCATTGCCTTTTCTTGGGTGGTTTGAGGCCTAACAGTTTCTCAAGTTAATGTCTTCAAAGTTCATCATGGGGCTACACCACAGTTTAAACACACAAGATTTAAGAGTTCGATGATATTGGCACTTTGGACTAATGGGAAATTTTGTGTAAGAGAATCTCATTTTCAAAGGAGAATTGAATACTTACCCACAGGGAAAATATTTGCCTGGATATGGGGAAAAGGCAGGGAAGTTGATCTGGATGAATAGCTCTTGTATGGAGCCAGCACCAACACAATGGGCTAAGTGCTTCCTTCTTTGATTCAATGATTCAATAGATATGAGCTCTCCTAAAGGAGGAAGACAGAAACAGCTAATCGTGGCAAAGAATTCTGACTGTGCACAGCCTGTTGCAACAGTGGAGTGGATAGGTATACACAAACATACAAATTAGGAATAGGAGCAGAGATAGTAGGAACTGCAGATGCTGGAGAATCTGAGATAACAAGGTGTAGAGCTGGATGAACACAGCAGGCCAAGCAGCATCATAGGAGCAGGAAGGCTGACGTTTCAGGCCTAGACCCTTCATCAGAAATGAAGGAGGGTCTAGGCCCGAAACATCAGTCTTCCTGCTCCTATGATGCTGCTTGGCCTGCTGTGTTCATCCAGCTCTACATCTAGGATTAGGAGCAGTCCACTCAGCCCCTTGAGCCTGCTCAGCTGTCTGATAAGATTTTGAACACTGGCTTTTGAAAAGCAAAATGACATGTACCAGAATTTGAACCGAAGTACTGAACTGCTGTGAAGAATCCATCTCCATATAATATCAACTGTAACCTTACCCAGTAAGGACCCACAAGGGGAAGCTTTAAGAAAATAATTTTGAATGTATGATGTACTTTTGAGTTCTTAGTAAGAACACTGGTGGGATGTCTTGCAACCTGAACATAGAGATTTAAGATAGCTGGCAAAGGAACCAGAGTGTAAATACCTGTAGTAACTCACTACTTTAAAACAACCTGCTATGATGTGAACAGCAAAGCCTGAGGGCAATGGAAACAGATTCTATTGTTACTTTCTAAAAGAAGAGTAGGTTAAAGTACTTTAAAGGAAGAATTTGCAGAACTGTCGGGGGGAGGGGGACTAATTGAATAGACTTCCAAAGAGCTCGCACAGGCATAATGGTTTCAGTGGCCCCCTTCAAATTTGTTTGTATGCATAAGATAACATTTCATATAAGATAACATTCCGCCAACTCTCAGCAGGGAAATAAAGTCTCCAAACAAGAATCTAACATTCCGTCAACCCTGACCTTTCACATACCGCAGACAACATTCCCATGGACCATACAGTTCAAGGAGCAGAAGATTCTGAGCAGCAAACTATCTAACCTCCTCCTAAACTGACACTCTGCTGGCTTCTGACTGATATGGGTCTTTGACGTCAACTTATTCCATATCTTCTATCCTGTGAGTGACTCTACCTTCAAATCCCACATTGTTTAGTTCTACTTCAAGTTAAATTGTGAAACGCAGCAGCTTTTGGAAAACAGGCGGGGGAAAACAAAGCTCTGGCGACAAAGTGTAATTAAACTGTACTCCATCCCAAAGGCACCAAGTCCCAAGTGCACCAAGTCCCCGTCTCTGAACTCCCTCCGAAACCCTCTCCACCTCTCGGTCTGCTTCAGAGTTCACCCTCTCCTAATCTCTGCAGGAGAAGTCTCCAATTGATGTCCTGTTGATCTTCTGCCTGTTCTTGAAAATCAAATATCTCTCTCCGTCTCTCTCTCACACACACACGCATCCCGAATCAGAAAAGGAATAGTTGATTTCAGACAGCAGGAGCTGCCTTTCTCCTCGGGCCTCCGAAAACCGACACATCTCTCTCTCCCCCCACCACTACCTTCCCCCTCCCCCTACCCCTCATGTCCCCGGAAGGAGCCTTTAACCAGATTGCTGTAAATGGACAGAGTTATCCTAAACGGGGTTTGTGCTCGCATTCCCACGGTGAAATAAACAATAGAAACCAAATAAATAGAAATACTGAAACATTTCTAAAGGATGAACAGTTTTGTTTACTGCAAGTGGAAACGCTCAGTTGTGATGTTTCGACCATTTTCAACTCGTAACCGAACGTGTGACCTAAAAGCTGAGAGAAAAGTGGCTGAATCTCTCACCTTCTGGAAGTCCGGGCTCAGGGCTCTGGCACCAGCTCTCAATCCACAAACAAAACGATAGAAGCCACAATCTTCTCATTTTCTAAAAAAAAGTTCAGCTCCTTTGACGAAGAAAATCTCTCTGGCTCAGGGAAACCAACACATCGGCTCTGCACAGTGAGGAAACTAGCTCCCCAAAAACTTTCCAAGCTGCTTCTTGAACTTTGCGGTTGATTCCTGGACGGAGTAGAGGATAGTTCCGTTTGAAATAAATCGCCAGCAACCAGATCGAAATTCACTGAAGGCGGAGTGCGGTGTGTTTTTTTTTAAAAAGACAGCTTCTAAAACATTTCAAAGTAGCAGCTCCAGCTGATGAATTGAGCCGGCATTGAATCCAGGCATAGAAAAGAAGAGGCTAAAGAAAACTTGCACTTAAGACAACATGAAATATTTCAGTTCAGCTTTTTTTTGATGTGGAAGATTGCGGTATTCCGTTTTATAATTTGTGAATCTCCGCTCACGCCTGGGTCGTTCCTCTGCAAGGTTTCAAACTACGTCTAGCTCCTACTCTCTATCCAATTGCTTTTATCGTCGGTTCAGCCTCCCAGCCCCTTTGTGGCTCTTTCTTTCTCCCTCCCTCTGGCGAGAGAAGTCTAGCACCGGGAAAACTCGTCCAGTCACCGCTCCTAAACTCATCGCCTGACACAGTTAAGTCACAGTGGTTGATCTGATTGTAACAATTTGTCTTAACAATGTGGTCACAATTTCGTGCTAGCCTTGGCCACTCCCAACACTGAGGCAGAATATCACCAGTTGAAGCCCAACAGACCTGACAACCAGATTTAAGCTGGAAGTTTAAAATGCTCCCTTCGCATTGTAACTAAGGGAGTACTGTAGAGTAGTCCTTCAGTTGATTTCTTAAAGGGATGGACGCAAAATACACCGCAGCATTGCAAACGAGCAGGCTGGGACATGAAAGTAGAGGCCAGACAGCAGCCAGATTAGCCAGGTGATCTTAGTGGAGTAGCAGGATGGTGGGGTCGAATGGCCTACTCCTGCTCCTAAATACTGTACCATGTTCCTCATTGCCTCGCTCAATAATTATTTCTCTACCAGCGTTGTTCAGCAGATGAGCTGCTCACTATCACATTCCTGTTTATGGGATCTTGCTCTGCACAATGAATATGGTGAATGCACATTCCTGCAAAAGGCCAATACAAAAAAGAAATGTATGGTCTTTCAGACTGCCAGCTGCTCATTTTCTACAACTGCCTAAACCAGATCCCAAAGTGCCCAGACCTGGATCAGTCCTGCTAGTTGATGACATTCCACTCAACTGCTACAGTCTCCTGTAACCACTCTAGAATGCCAGTTGACATTCATGTGAGAGCTCACTGCAGAGTTTATTCCTCATGCAAAATAAAGACTTGGGGTTCTACAGTGGCTTTCAGTCATTGAAGCATAGTCACTATTTCACTGAATAAGTCTGACCAGAGAGTGACAAACTATTTGACTGCCTATGGCTCATGGAATTCAGTCCAGTTAAGTATGAGGTGATGCATTCGGGCAGGACAAATGAGACAAGGGAATATTGGCGAATGGTAGGCCCCTAGGGAAGCACCAAGGATCAGAGAGACCTTGGTGTGCAGGGACACCAGTCCCTTAAGGCAGTGGGACAGATAGATAAAATGGTTAGGAAGGCATTTGGGATACTTGCCTTTATTAGCCAAAGCAGGGAGGTAATGCTGAATCTGTGTAAGATACTGGTTAGGTAACAGACAGAGTTTAGTAACATAGAAAACAGGTGCAGGAGTAGGTCATTCAGCCCTTCGAACCTGCACCAATTTTCAATATGATCCTGGCTGATCATGCAATTTCTGCATCCCACTCCTGCTTTCTCTCCGTACTGCTTGATCCCTTTAGCCACAAGGGCCATGTCCAGCTCCCTCTTGAATATATATTGTGCACAGCATTAGAGATGGTGCAGAGTTTCAGTTCTGAAGTAAGATTGGACAGACTGGGGTTGTTTTCCTTGCAGCAGAGGAAACTGATGGGAGACATGATTGAGATGAATAAAATTGCAAGGGGCATAGACGGGAAGGAACTTCTCCCCTTGGTGAGGGATCAATGACCAGAGGGCATAAATTTAAGATAAAGGGCAGGAGGTTCAGAGGGAATGTGAGTAAATTTCTTTTCATTCAGAGGGTGGTGAGAGTCTGAAACTCACTGCCTGTAAGGGTGATAGAAACAGAAACCCTGATAATATTTGAGAAGTATTTAGATGTACACTTGTGATGCCAACACATACAAGGCTATGGGCCAACTGTTGGAAATTGGGTTTTGTATAATTAAACGCTTGTATTTGTCCAGCACAGACTCAATGGGCCAAAGGGCCTTTTTCAGTGCTGTAGACCTCTATGACTCAGTCCAGACATGGTCTCAGTCCACCAAAAACAACTTACAGTTATATAGAGTCTTGACTGCCCATCTCTTACTCCTCCTTTCACTTCCTTAAAATAGCTGTTTCCATTTCAGGGAATAGCTGACTATTAATATCCATTGTAAATCCACTGACTCCACAGTTTCCTGGAATGCACATTCTCACACCTGCTTCCTGTAAAGACTCTGTTCCATTCTTTCAGTTTCTCTGTCTCCGTTGCATTTGTCTTATGATGCTACTTTTCACAGGAAAGTCTCACAAATGTTCACCATTTTCTTCAACTGAGGATTCCACAGTGATTGACAAGGCCCTCAACTATGTCTGACCCATTTCCCACACTTCTGCCCTCACCCCTTCTCTTCTCTCCCACAACACTGATAGGAACCCCCTGATCTTCACTTTTCACCCACCAGCATTCACATCCAAAGGATCATAAGCCACCATTTCCATTAATTCCAGTGGATGCCATTATTAGGCAAATATTCCCCGTCCCTCCCTTGTCAGCATTCTGCAGGGACCGTTCCTTCTTGGACACCCTGGTCCATTCTCCCTCCACTCCCAACACCTCCCCTCAACCCCACAGCACCTTCCCTTGCGATCACAGAAAGTACACTTGCCGGTTTACCTCCCCCTCCATTCTGCAAGGTTCTAGACACATTTTCCAGGTGAAGCAGTGATTTACCTGTGTTTATTCAATCTAGTTTACTGTATTCATTGCTCCCAATGTGGACTCCTCTACACTGGGAAAACAAAATGCAGACTGGGTGACTGCTTTGCGTGACACCTACAGGTATTTCCGATATAACATGTGTTTCGTTAATGCAAATTGGCTGTAACACAATTGATGAATAGCAGACACTGTTTGGATAATGCAAACTTTCTGCTGTACAGTATAGTGATTTTCTATAGTGATTTCCCTATAACACGGTTTTCTATGGCGATTTTCTGTAACGCGATGTGGTACAAGAACGCAGCTATTATGTTATAGGAGAACTGCCTGTACATTCAGTCCGTAAAAAAGGACTGAGAGCTTCCAGTTGCCTACCACTTCAACACACTACTGTGTTCCCTGGCCAACATTTCTGCCTGAGGCCTGCTGCAGTGCTCCAGCGGGCTCAGTACAAGCTGGAAGAACAGAATCTCAACTTACACTTGAGGACCCTTCAGGACTCACTATCGAGTTCAATAATTTTAGGACCTGAACACCTTCTTCCAAATCCTTTACCCACACACATACATCAGGCCCTGTCATCACATGGGCAGCTTTCAGCAGAACCAACCAATTGTCACCTCAGTGTCCCCCTTATCAGCTTTTCTACTTCCCTAGCAGACTGAAAACCATCCGTTTGTCTGCCTAACTTTCTTTCTATCTCTCTAGGCTCTGTCTTCACTTGTCTGCTCACTCCCCCTCTACCTGCTGTCATCAGCACAAATATTACCATTTCCTACCATCAGTTCTGAAGAAAGATCACTGGACCCAGAATGTTAACTTTGCTTTCTTTCCACAAAAGCTGCCAGACCTGCTGTGTTTCTTCAGGAATTTCTATTTCTATTTCAGTTCTTCAGCAGTTTTATTTTATTTTACTCTATAAGCTATTCACGTTCAGCAACATGAATGAAAAACTATTGACAAGTTTTGCTCAAACTAAACACCTGAACTTCAAAACAGGCCAAAAAACAAAAAGTTTCTCCAGCAATCTTTCAGATTCCCAGCATCTGCAATTCTTTGTTTTATTCAAAAGAGACCATCCTGTCACATCATTAATTCCAGTTACCCCACTCCCATTCCCCACTGATCCTGCTAAAAAGAACAATTCCCAATTGCCTGTTAAATTTGTCTGGAATGGAGCACAAGTACAGCTTTTCAAATATTCTTTGGTCCTCATGTTGATTTTCTATCTCACCAATTTTCTCCTAAAGTCTTTTTTTTGCCACATTTGCCATCTCACCAAATGATCTAATGACATTGCCGCAACAATAGCCCCACACCTTCATCCTTCATCCAGAGCGTGCAGTCAGGCTTCATTCATCAATGGATGCCCCTCCTCAATGTCACATAGCTACTTCCTCAATCTCTCCTTTAAGATGCTCCTTCAATCCATCTTTGACTGAGCTTCTGGACACTTTACCCTAATATCTCCTTCTTTGCCTTGATGCCAAATTCTGTGAGGAAATTCTTCAGAGCATTCTCCTGAGTTCCCAATGCCTATTCACCATCTACAAGGCACTAGTCAGGAGTGTGATGGAATATTTCCCATTTGCTTGGAATGAGTGTGACTCTAACATCAGAGAAGCATAACACCATCCATGAAAGAGATTGATGAGCACCCCATCCGACACCTGAATTTTCACTTCCCAATAACACCATCAGACAGTGGCAGCAAGGCATTCTATCTACAATATGTGCTGCAGCAACTCACTTAGGTTCTTTCAACAGTAATTTCCAAAACCCACAACTTCTACCATCAATAAAGGATGTGGTACTACATTATATCAGATGCAAAGGAACTTGTAACATTTTACTGTATTAAAGGGGCTCATTGATGGGCTGTAATCAAAGTACAATAACCATACTGCATTGCTTTCTCCATCTGTATCTCTCTGTTTTGGTCTGTCCCTTGCTGGCATCTACTGTATGGTGCCTCATGGTGCACAGGCTGAGATTGACCGACGACGAACTCAGGTACTGTCAAGTGGACACCTTTTGCCAAATTGGAATTGGACCATGAAACATATATTAATAATAGAGGATGGCATTTTAATGCTAGGTCATTCTGGGCCCAGGAGGTACATCTTGTCACAGAGTTTCTTCATACTTTCAAAAACATGGCACAAAGGTTCAGCAATTGTAACGAGGACAGAATTGTGAGCAAATTGATCATGATAGCTGGTCAATTATAGCATGAGGACGGTTATGATAATACTGTTGGTCTGGGAATCCAGAAATCGAGAAAGACATGACCTCAAATCCCTGCAACATGCTGTGGTTGAAGTTTATTTAGTCAATCTGATCTTGTTAATACTGAAACTATTGGATTGTCATGAAACCTCACCTGCTTCTTTGAAGTCTTTTTGGGAAGAAATCCTGCAGTCCTACAGATTTTGCTGCAGATTTGCTTTTCAATATCTCTGAACAGGTTAATTAGAAAAATTGGTTAATAAAGAAAATAAAAATTTCAGGTGCTTTCTGGGGCCCTCTTTTGGCACAGTGGTAGTGTCCCTATCCCTGGACCGGAGGTTTGGGTTCAAGTCCCACCTGCTCAAGAGGTGTGTAATAACATCTCTGAACAGGTTGATTAGGAAAAATATCAATTTCTGCCTACAAGGAAGTTAGTCAGCTCAGTTAGATGGATAGTTGGCTTGCAATGCAGAGTGACACAAACAGCATGGATTCAATTCCTGTACTGGCTAAAATTACCACTAAAAGTTGTTAAAGTCAATTGCTTTCCACACAGATGATTGGGTGTTGGAAAGGTAAACTGTTCAGTTGTGTTTAAGAGTGCTTCTGTATGTAGAAAAGAAGAACAGTATGAAAACTACTGTGGATGATTGCGAAGAAAGTTGTTAATTGCTGTCTGCAGTGACTGAGCACACCACACATTTGTAAGTGGCTTACCAAGGCCAATTCTGGTTGGAGAAAATGCTAGCCTTGTCAGCAGTGTTCACATACCAACACTGAATGAAACAAAAGGAAATAACAAATACAAAGCTGAGAGCCTATTTTATTCCTCT